AGAACTAGTGCTTTGCATGGCCACTTATATATTTTCTTTCTCATCCTTGGCTCCCTGTTGACCAGTGCCACCTCATCAGCACAACAGCACTGCAGCTTCCATCCATGGGTTATCACTGACGCATAGGGTCTTCATTTTCTCTATTATTCTTTCACTTTAAATTAATCTTCTTCATTTATCATCCAGCCTTCCCACCTCAATTCTTTCTTTTCCAATCATTTCCAAATTCTTGACACTTCCACTTCTAGCCCCAGCAATTTTGGAAAACTCTCCTCTGTCATTTTAAATCCCACCTCAAAATCCTTGCTTTCTTTAATGCTCTAATACTCTTGTGTACCTCTTGTCTTTTTCTTTCAAACATAGTAATGTGTTTTCCTGCAGGGTGGATTTATTTGTTTTGCTTACTCTCACCCAGCACTTTGGATCAAAGAACTGCATAATTTAAAATAAGATGTCATGACAACGTGAAGCAAACTCCACTTAAATAAGAGCTATCTTAAGACAGTATGTAGACTCCTACTATCTGTTTACATGGGCATCTCCTGCTTGTTTTTGGCTTTAGAAACATAAGTAAAGATGTGAGGTGGCAAACTTACGTTGATTGGAGTTGATTTGAGGTTGTATCAGATATCCTGCTTTTAGATGTGTAAACTAAAAAAACTCAAAACCTGATCCTCACAAAATGCAAACCCCAGCAAAATGCTCTACGGGTCACTTTTTATCATTACCACAATCTTCAGGATTTCCTGGTTAGATTATACATGGTGCTTTATCTCTGGCCATAAAGCATCCATGTTACCTCATACCTTCCCCTGTACATTATGGCAAGGAAGGCTGATGTGAGCTGTTTGGTCAGGAGATAGAAATCTCTTCCACAGATCTTTGATCCAAGGGAATCAGCGACTTCCTCATGACTAATCTTTCCATAGGTCACAGGCCAGCTCCCCCTTAGACGTATTTGCATCCAGATACTCACCAGCAATATCCTGTTTTCTAATTTAGGAAGTACTGATGACTATACATTTTCTTTGGCTCATGCTAATTCCTTTCCTCTCTGTTCTCCATTATGTTGGCAATTCATCTCCATGCCTGTGTGAAGACTGGACTAGAATTCCTGTCTCTTAAAGGAGACACTGATGTCTGCTCTGTGAATAAGTGTGAGAGAATGTGTTAGAGACGGGTTACAGTGCCAGTCCCAGTGACTCCTTTGCTAGGTTGTTTTTTTTTTTTGCTTCATCCCCATGCTGGCAGCACAGCCTTTCCAACCCTACAGCTCCTGTTTACAAGCAGAGCCACCAATTCAGCCCGACATGGCTTCTTTGCTGCCCTCTGACAGACAGACAGACAGTCCTGACACTATTCCTAGCTCCTTTACACATCCTTCACTTTAGGTGCTCTAGCCTTCCTCAAATCCAATCAAATGTTTTAATTTCCCATTCCACCCAGACGTTTCCCCTTTCTCTTCCAGATTAAATTCTCTCCATGAAAGATAACTGTTTCTCCTTCTCCAAAGGTCACTGAGAAGTTGTTTTCATAACCAGTTCAACCACTGATGGGCCTCACAGAACTATCCCAATTTCTGAATGGACGAGATACAGGAGAACATCAAGAGAGGCTTGCACAGCACCACAAGCAATGTGGGACCAGTGAAGCAAAGCCACAGGAGGAGTCAGGTTCCAACCCACGAGCTGCTATCAGTCTGCACTGCCTCCAGCCCTGTCTGGCTCATCCTGCTGTGAGGAAGGCCAGCCAGCCTCTGTCTGGTCAGCGTTACGTATGAACAAAAGGAATGCAACCTCCTTCCACTGCCTTCCACCCTGCAGCTCCCCAGCCTGTGGCTTTCTTGTTTTCATGTGCGGCAGTAAATCCCTTTCATCCAGCAAGTGGACACTGCACATGCAAGTTGTATGACCAGCCCACATCTACCTCCCTGCCCCACGCTGAGAGCTTTTTGTCTGTCTAAGCACTCATGCCCACTTGCAAAGAGCCCACACTGGCAGACTGTTCCCTCCTGACATACTAACAAGCTACCAGCCAAAGGAAAATATCTTGCAATCATTTCAGACCCCCCAGCTCAGCTGCTGACTAAGCCTAGTGGCTACTAGCTGTTGGCACTGCTGGGTGCATTCAAAACTCACAGGATACACGGCTCACCTGTCACAAAAAAACAAAGCACTGATGGAGAATAGGGCTGCTTGTCCCCAGTGCCAAAGGTGCACATGGGAAAGGAGGCAGCCCTGCCATTTACAGTTCAATCCCAAATTTCCACAGCTAGCCCCCTCTGTCCCTCTCTTCTACAGGAAGCTCCAGAGCTCCCTGTGAGGTAACTCCACTGCAGAGGTCAGAGTAAAAGATGTAATGTCTTGACTATACCACTTTGATTGCTGTTAGTGATTTCAAAGGAACAGAGCACTGAAACAGGACAAGGGGATCTAAATGACTTTGTGCTTGGACCCAAATAAGCTAGTTACATACTCCTATCACATGACTCCCCAACATTCACTCAGATTGCTCCCAAGATTCTAAAGATACTCAGATAGTTTGAACTTTCCCCTGTGTGCAATGGGAGTCAGGTTCCTATCAGCTCCCAGCACCTGTAGCAAAGAGTTCAACAATGACGATGTATCAAGTCCATGCTGCAAAATAAAACCATGTTTTCTACACAGCTGCGGACAGCTGGGATGTAAATGTGTATAGGATGCTTATTTGGCTGCAAAGAGGAGGGCTCCTCCTCTGGGTTCTCTCTTGCCTCTTGTCTACTACCTTCCTGTTTTTCCCTAACAATCTTTGCTGTCTCTCTTGAACTTAGTGGATGAAAACAAGAACAACTCCACACACCAGTAAATGATTTACAGACTGGCTAAACTCATGGTTTAACTGGCAAGCTCAGGCAGAGAGCAGAACCCACTATGTGAAGTGATGGGAGCTGTATCCACATAGCTGCAGTGACTTCATCCCAATACAGGTCTCCCCCATCAGCTGGCAAATGGACTTGCCCTTCTCACCATGCTGAGTACTGCTGTGGATGGACACAGACACAACAATGGCACGCACTGTGTGCAGTCTAAGGCTATTCTATGAAAGTATCATGATGTCAGTGAGAAATACTGTGTGCAGTCTAAGGCTATTCTATTAAAGTATCATGATGTCAGTGAGAAATGTTTCTAATCATGGAATAACTGTAAAGCACAAGATTTGACAGGTTGATGTTATCCAGGGGAAGGACACAAAATTTGACCAGACCTAAGGATGGGTTCAAAAGCATGCAAAATCTTGTGTGATTTTGATGTCAAAGGGTGGAGGTTTTGCAAGAGTGGCTAACAGTTTTCTCAGGATTCTTTGTCCCCATTGCCACCTGCTGGGTGATAAGAACATAGAAATTCCACAAGTTTATCCCACCTAGGTGAACATGTCACATCCTTGGCTAACTTCAGGAACAGCCGTGTAAGACTGTCACTTGCAGCTTGAAGAGGAATGCAGGGGCCACATCTGAACAGACAGGTTATCGTGCCAACTCACAGCCCAGACGTATGCCAGCAGGGATAGATGTGCCCTTGGCACACAGGGAGGCCTCCTCTGGGACATCCACCTGGGCAGCCCTGGTGGAGCCTGCGTCTCTGTGGTTACCCTCACAGCGGCACTGGCAGCACAAGGAGCCTCCTGATTGTACCACTGCAGGTTTTAAAATGAAAGCACTATTTTCACTGGCTTTGAAATCACAGAATTGCAAGGGAGGTCACTCCTGGTAAGGTGGCTATCTCCAGTAAAAGCGCTAGAAAGCGCATATTAAAAGATCAAAAACAATGCCTTTATGTCTTAATATGATTTATACTTCAGACCATGTAACTTTTACAGTGCTGCCTAGTACATGATGGATGCAGCTCTTTTAACAGCCCACACATTTGTTTGATTTACTGCACCGGTCCAACATGTTATTTTCTACCTTGCAAGAACCACCTCGCTTCTAGGAATCTGCGTGCATGATAAGATCATGAATTAAATGTGCAGTTATTGTAAGAGACCACACATTTTACAGTAAAATTGAGAAAACTGATTACAGCAATCCCTCTGGAAACAAGAATAATCACATGATAAGATAGTGCTAATGGGAATTTATCATCTCACATGTGAGGTTTAGAACAAAGCAGCAAAGCTAGCAAGCTGCACGGCTATTACTGCCAATGAATGCCAGCCGAAAAGCTACTGGGGACTGTGAACAAACGACAGGAGAGGAGGGATGCTGAACAGCCAAACTGAAGCCAATTTGCTATGCTTCAAGACACTTACACAGTAAAGCTTATATGCATCATTAATCAACACTATCCAAAATAACTGCCTGGTATCTTTCCATACATCCTATTCCCTCTCTATCTACACTACTCCATCCAAACTCCATGCAATTCTCCCATTTGTTCTCACTGTATTTCATCACTAGTGTAGCCCAAAATAACGAGATCTCAAGGGTACGGCATCTGTGTACGCACACATCTGCATCTACACACAAACTTCCTCTCACACAAACATTATTCCTAAACTGTATGTCTCAGAACTGAAATATGCTTTTTCCTTTCTCCTACACAAAAGGCAGCAAAAACCTACCCACAGTATTTTCTATTTGAAGCAATTAACACTTGACTAAAATTAACATTTTTAAAGCTGTCTTGGGAAACTGAATGCAGAAAACCCAAATTGGCATGCCCACAGTTCTACAATAAATGATACATCTTCCACCCTTTAAGTATCCTAAAATTACTCTCCATGAAGCCCCGTAAGACACATGAAAACTCAATGTATTGATGGTAGACAGCGAATTCCTCCATTCTGTTGAAAAGAGGATATATTTGCTGGCCTGCCATAATTTTCCATTGCCCTGTTTCATAGATAGAGGCTTGGACTTTTCAGAAGAGATTTTTTTTTCTCTTTTCTAAATGAAAATGAAAGGAGATGGTTACGGTTAGGTGGCAGGAGGACAAGATGAAAGAAGCATCCTACACAAGTACCTGTATGAGTCCTCTGGTGAGCCTTTAAGTGGGAGCTCTTTGTATAAACCTTCCGGCACCCATTAAATTGACAGCGGTGAACCCTCTTCTTGTTTTCTGGAGATGCTTCCAGTCCTGGTCCTCCTTGTTCACTGTCACTTTGCCCGCTCTTTATTGTCCCTGCGGTTGCTGCCGCTACACTCACTTTCATGGAGCTGAGGGAAGATTTCTTGGCCACCAATTTCAAAGTCACTGTGCCATCCACTGCCGAGAGAGTCTGTGAGGTTTTTACAAGGTGGCGGCTGAGCTCCGGAGAGGAAGGGGGTGTTAATGAGGTTACTGCATTGAGTTGGGCCTGGTTAACGGCCGTGTAGCTTTCTGTGGAAGAGCTGGTGGACTGCAAGCTGAGGCACGTCTCAGACAGCAGCTTGTCCCGTGAGAGGATAATGTCCATGTTGGTGCTTTTGTCACACATACTCGTCTCCACTGGCAAAAGAATGGGATCCAGCCGTCGGATACTGTCCTCCGCATCTGGAGCTGAGGAGGCATGAAGAAAGCAGTCCAAGTCCTCACCAAAGCTCTCAGAGATCTTCCGTGGTTCAGTCTGAAGGTATCGCTCCAACTCGAGGCATGTCTGCAGGAGGGGAAGGGAGGGAAAGAAATCGCTATTAGAGAGAGATCACAGCAGGGCTCCCACCGAGGGCAGGAGAACAACATGGTCCAGAGCCATTTAGAGACAGCGCTCATGTGCAGCAGCCCCTCCTTAAAAGACGGTTGATTTTGGGAGGCATGGGAATTTGGCACTTGTTTGAAACTGCTCAGACAGAGGGTATGGGAATATCTGTGTATGGTAGAGGATATAATGATAATGTAGATAATAATAACTGGAAAGCATCCACTAAATTTTCATGGAAATCTGCACACAGCCCCATTTCAAGTGTAATCTGGCAAACAATCACCTCTACATGAAACATTCAAACTGTCCAATCTCCTGGCGCACACAAAAAGTCACCTCTCCAACAAATTCCTTCCTCTTTCTTCACACACATTACGTTTTACTCCAAACTTAACTCTGCATTGTTGGCTGAGGCCCTAATGGCCTAAAATGGCATAAATTTTAGGTAAATCATTTTAAGATAGAAAGAGCAGACAAAGAAAATCTCCCAGTAACAGCATAGCTCGTTCGAAGGGGCTGAGAGAAGATGAAGATGTGACAAGAAAGCAGGGACCTAGTGCCTCTTTTAGAGGGTTTTTGTCATATCTGAACAAGTAGACCTCCTGTATACAGAACACCACACTTGCACACAAGCACACAGCATCTTGAAAAGTAGGTGAAGATGCAGGCAGAGATGCTGCTGCACAAAAATGTGTTCCTACATCTCCGTAGCAGTGATTATAGCATGAGGATGGCGTGAACTTACTACTTGAATGTACCTTGTATGAGCTGCCCTAAGCTAGCACTAGCACCAATAAAGCCTCCAGGCACCATCATGCTGCCCAGTGTTCTCCAAAGCCAACATTATAGACTTTTATTATTTATAGAAAGCCGTTATCTGTAGTTTTGGGAGCTCTTAATGGAGTTTATTAGCGTTGTTTTTCATTTCTTGCTGCTTGAAAGGATAGTTGCTTTAATACCTTCACTGCAATTTTACAGGACTTAAAAAAACATACATACTAACAGAGATATTTTTTTGAAACTTTTAAAAACTACTCCTGAGAGAACACTTTAAAGATATAAAGGAAGGGATTTTTAGGCAGAAATATTCAATGCAGCCTAATGGAGCTAATGGTCTAACTACATCTCAACCTGGAGGCCCAACATCTGATTAAGAAACAAAAGCTTCCTACCACTAGAGATGAGACAGAAACTCCCGTCTTTTGAGTACAAACCTCAATAGGAGCACAAAAAGGCTCCATTCACAGCTTTCTGGGAGTTAACATCTAACTCAGGATTATTACTTTCAGTGTAGCCTGAAAGCAACACTACTGTTTGCAGATACAAATTGGTGGGGTGACTTCCAGAGTTTCTGAATTCAAAAAAAGATTCTGTCAGACAGTTATCTATTTGATTACTTAATAATACTTGGTCACAGATCTGAGCTGTAGAGATGGACTTGGCAAAAAACAAAAAAAAAATGGCAATATATGCAAGCAAGAAGTGCTATACTTCAGTGGAGTCACATGAGACTGTGTATGCAATGTGTCTGGACTTACTAGTCAGCAATCTTGCCTTAAGCAAACCACCAAATGATCAAGTTGCTCAAACTTAGCAGAGGGCCTCACTTCTTTGTCTACCATAAAAGGGATCTCTGAAGAACTGTTTTTGCCAATTCCCTGGAAGATGAAGTTGGTAAGTTTTTGGGCACTCAGTGAGCAGAAGTTCAACCAGTGTGCCCGCCCAGAAGTACCTGAAAACTGGCATCCGCGAGCTGCAGCCCACAGCTTGGGCACTCTGCTGCCTTCTGCTCTGGGTTCACACTAAACTGCTGCACTGCCCTAGGAAACCAATGGACTGCAACAACAACCTATCCTCTTTTCTTCCAGCAGTGATTTCCAATAGACAACAGCAGAAAAAAGCTGAAGCCAGATCATCAGAAGCCTGCTGCTCCACCTCAGAAATGAGACTGAGGAACAACGATGTGGATGCTAACTCAGTGCAAGCTCAACATTCAGGACTTGGGGGATTTCCCTTGGGGGATGCCAGCTTATTTCTCCAACAGCCTTCCTCCAAGCATCACGAGAAGCCATTCATTTGTGCTCTCTGCTCTCCCCACTGCTCCTTCAGCTGGATTTTTGGATCGGCTCCTATTTCCTGCTGCAACAATGTGACTTGGCCCTGTACATCCGCTGGGCTGCCCCTGAGGCTACCCTACTTCCTGAGCACAGCAGAAAGTTGGAAATGATGGGAATCAGCAATAAGCTTCACAGCAAGGTGTCACAGCATCTGGTTCTGCTGCAACCTAGCCTTGCTGGCACGTGTGACAGCAGAACCTTTTTGCCTTGAACCCACTTTAACTTGGGGCCAAGGACTTCCCCTGAGGGACAGGGGCAGGGGACAAGGCTTTCAGCTTTCACTCAGGAGTGCCCTGTTCTAAAGGTCCATCTGAACTAGTTCCTGAGGAAGTGGTAGACAGCCCCCATGCTGTCCCTGTGGCACCAGCACCTACCGCCCCTGCTTGCTCTCCTCCCCCTGGAAAGCAGACACCTTAGTACCAGCAATGAGGGAAGCCATGCTGGGGCTGCTCACAGTAACAATGGAGAGCTGCTCTTGTGGACACAAAAAGCCTATTTAACGTGCAGTTCTGGGACTGGAGAATGCCTGTAGGTGGGGACCTGGCCTCTCCCTAGATGAATTAAGGGATTTGGGGGCAGTTTTCCAAGTGAACCCCACAGTTCTCCAGGACTGATTCCACACACAAAACAAAAGAGATGATGCTTTTTCACTCTCCACATCATGTAATTTGGGCTTTCTGTCTCACTTAGCCTTCAACCAGTGGGGCAGAAATAGATCTAGGGGCCTAATAAATAGAAGGCTTCCACAGTAGAATATAAACATAATCAGAAATTAGGGATAGAAGTGGGGGAAAAAAAGGAGACTGGGACTCAAAGCCATTAAATGTGACAACAGTGGCAGGAGATTTCAATTGCCAGGACTAGAAAGCTGCACGTTGGTTCTGTGGGCCCGTGGATGCAAGCAGGAGGTGCTGCTCCTTTAAGGCGCCACTAGCCCAGTGATAACAATAGTAGGCCTGACAGTGTTTTTAGCTTCACCATTAATTTTCCATAAAGAGCAGTTTCTCGATGAGCCCTTTTCAGGCAAAGCCTGATGCTTCAGAAACCTGTAATTATTCTTGGCTCCCCCCTCCCGCAGCCATTGCACCTGTGCCATTTCAAGACACCAGCTGGTCATGCCTTGCCTTCTGCCTCAGAAATCCAAAACCAGTGGATCAAGCCCATCTCCCCATAGAGAGGGAAAAAAACAACTCAAAGGAAAAGAAACAATATAATGAAGCTCCTCCCTCCCTCCCACTCCCCTCAGTCCCTCCACCAAGTCAACAAGGGGAAGCTGAGCAGCGCTGAGCCGGAGGACCTCCATCTCATCTGCATGGCAGACAAAGCCCGAGGAGAGCTCAGGCCACAGCCTTGCGGCAGCCCCGTCAGCTCCTACCTGCTGTCGAGGCAGGCCTCAGCCTGCAGAACAAAGCTTCCTTCCCCATATGCACTCCCTGGCACGTGCCAAGCACCTTATGTGACCTTCCCCTCGCTCGGGCCCAAATTGCCCGGGGAGCGGCAAGCAGTGTTTTGAATGCAGCCTGTTTTCTTCACTCCTGCCCCAGCAAGGCTCAGCATTTTTAGGCCATGTAAGCTCACCCCCTTGTCTTGAGCTCTGAGCTGGTGAAGCCGCTCCGGCTGAGACCGCCAGCCTTACAGACCTTCAAAAGCAGAAGGATAGTTCTTCCATCTCCATTCCCATAAAGTTACCTGCCAACAAGTGCAGCAAAACCCAACAATTCTCTGTGAGAGCAGCAGGGCGCTGACAGCTACCCAGAGACATGAGCCCACAGGGCTGGATTCAGACACTGGTGAAATCTACTTCTTCCACTTCCACCACCAGCCTGAGAGGACAGTGGTCCAGAGTTACACGAGACGAGAGCAAGCTGCTCCTGTCATCACTGGCAGTTCTGCTGGATGTCTGGATTCTCACTACATACTCACGCAAGAGATGAGGAGATTGCTCTAATGGATGCAATACATCTCATGTCTGAACTAAGCCTTCCTCCACTGTAGGTTGCTACATGGCAGGCAACCTGATGGGTATTAAACTTTCTTGCCCAGTGCCTGTTGGATTTGTTGCAATAAAGGCTTCAAAACTGTAATGTGAAGAGGAAGATGGCTGCCTTCAGGGACATAATAAGATCAGAAAGACTGTTGACTGCTGTCAAATGGTTTTTACAGGCTAAGGATAAAAAGTGACCCAGCTACTTCAACCCACCTGCCCTGACTAACAAGGGTCATTTTGCCCCTTGCTCCTCAGTTTAGCCAGTTACAATAAATGATGATTAATAGCTGAGAAATAATAGGATGTGACTTTGGTAAACTCCAGATACTTGCAGAAAGCCAGTGAGTAAAGGACGACCATCTGGCACGTGCACATTCCCAACAAAAACTCAGCCTGATTTCTTAATTTTGGATTCAATTGCAAAAAGGTTCACTTTCCCAACAGAGGTACATTTTCATCACCTACAAACAATGATGGAGACTGCACTCTGGTAAGCTGTGACATCTCTTTGTTCCCCACACCATACCACCTCCTTAGCAGAGCAGCAGAATACACCACATCACTTTCACATACAGGACCACATCCTTCTGGCAGTACAAGACAACCACTGCAGTGCTGCTCTATGCCTGGCAAGGACCTACTTCTTACAAAATGCAGTGAAAAAGAAACACACTCATGCCTCTGAGAGTGGAGATGTGATAGATGTACCATTTTCAGCAGTTTAGGACTCACCTAACAGCAACCAGCAGAAAGCCTTTACAGTATTCAAGTTCCTCTGTGTTTTGTACAGCTAAATATAGGACAACACAGTGACAGTGAAGTTCAGCCAAGGGTAAAACAAAGCCCAAACACTT